AAAAGAGAACTTTCATCTGAAACTCGACAATCTGTTCTTGTTCTTAGAAATGAAGGCTATTCCATGCGAGAAATTGCTAAGAGTTCATGTTAACAGTTCATGAGGCTACATGCGAACATGTCACCACCTGCTGGTGGACAGCAGAACTACAGTTAGTAATAAAATCGGTGATTTTTTTTATTTTTTTTGCAATTGTTTTTATTTTTTTCCCCTTTTAAGTTCCCTTGAAATTGTTAATGGTTGGTGTGTATAATAAAATCTTTTGTAAGTTTTTTTTAAGTGCAAAATGTCCTAGAACACTCATTTAAGGTGCACTGTTTTTCTGCCATTTTAGTGAAATAAACTTTTTTTTTGGTTTTAATCAGGTTGGAAGTTTTGTTCAACCAATCTTTTGACTAAACCGACCTAATTTACCCAATCTATATTTTTACTCGGGCAAAACAATGCAAATTAGTCTCATCAGCCAAAATAATTACGTTTAATCGCAACTTTCAAAAGAGAAAGACTGGTGTTGAACCGTCGACCTCTAGAGTGAGAGCCTGTCTCTTACAGACAATGCCACTCATGTAGGCAGTCTGACATAGGAGAAAATCCTAATTAATACTAACGTATTAACACTGACGTGCGGTGGTTTGCTCAAATTTTGATCATTACATTGTTTATTCAAACCAAATTAGCTTTAACCAACTAGATTGGTTGTTTTTCCAACCAATCTATTCTTAGAATCTATCCAAACTTTATCCAGCTGACAGCAGCTCTCCTCCAAACTCCCACATCTTGATTGAACACTGAGGCTGTTTAGATGCCTGTCAAAATTCTTGCGCTTCCCGAACCGCTTACCGAAGTGGTTACGTGGTATCACGGTAGCGTCATCAATTTTGGCCCCTCCCCTAAATGAATCACGCCTCGACACGCGCTTCGGGGAAACGCCCCCTCCATTACTCGACACACGCCTCATCTCATAACATCACTACAGAGAAGAAAAAGAAGTGGGAGGCCGCGTTGCACAACTGAGCAAGAAGATAAGTACATTAGAGTCTCTAGTTTGGGAAACAGACGCCTCACAGGTCCCCAACTGGCATCTTCATTAAATAGTTCCCACAGTAGCCTGTTTGTGCCGTCCTCTGAAGGGAGTAGTACACACCGTTGTAGGAAATCTTCAATTTCTTATCAATTTCTCGCATGGAATAGCCTTCATTTCTAAGAACAAGAATAGAGTGTTGAGTTTCAGATCAAAGTTCTCTTTTTCTGGCCATTTTGAGCGTTTAATTGACCCCACAAATGTGATGCTCC